TTTTCCCCCAATTATTAGGCACTAGGAAAATAGATTTACCTAACAAAGCTTTTAAACTTTCTCATTCATAGAGTTTTGAAGTAATTTAAAACTGGTGAAAGTGTGTTACTGTTTCTTTAGTGCTGAACCATCAGTTATTAGAATAAATCATTCTGTGTACTCAAATGATGATGAACCAGAGTCCATTTGTTTCTCTTCAGCACAGAAATTCATCTGAGCCCAGCTGTTACACAAAATCAATCACCATTTCACGCAATTCTCCTATTTGCTCAAACTTCCTCCTTGTAAAAGGAAATTTTTAATAAATAAATTGATCTATTTTCAGCAGGTCCTTTATAAAAAATAATTTTGAATAAATAAGAAAAAAGTCAAATAAGGTATTGCACACAGGTCTGTTCAAGAGCATTTTACGCTAGACAACAAAAAGCTGAAACTTGCTGTGTTGTGTTGCCCTCTTCAGGCTGACAGGTCAACTAGATTTTCTAGTTCTTTTGCTTGAATAGTCATTACATTTCAACTTCTTTCATAAAAGTTTTCAGATTTGAAGTTTCAAGTAGCAGCTAACTTCACCTGTATTCCACCAGTGCTTGAAATATTTTTGGTCTAATATCCTATAAACTATACTTTTTGCCTCTATGTCTCCCTAACTTCAATACTAATCTTGAGAATTATCAAAATATTAGCTAGAGTTTGAAAAGATGACTAAAAATCCAACTTCAGCAGTGGTAAGCAAGAGGCTTAAAGAGCTCAGTTGACTCCGCTTAGCAAAGAAAACTGAAGCTCCTGAAATCATTCTGTAAGTGAACTTGGGAGGTCAGAAAGTCAGGTGACTTTTAACTCGTGTAAGTCAAAACAGAATCTAGAAATTCAAGTGAGACAAATTCAGACTTGAAATGCAATGGAGACTTTTAACAAAAGAAAAATTTAACAACCTACTAACATAAAAGGGGAGATTCACTATTACTTGAAAACTTTATAGGTGGACCCAATATCTTTCCAATGCAATCTGTTCTGATCAGTTTTTGAATAGTTGTCATAACATGGGCCAAACTGTGCTGCTGATTTGCATACTTCTAATGGGTTTTGCAATTGATTACCCGAGCTCTGCCAATTAATGTGGGAATATGAATGAAACAACCTTCAATTGCTTGGAAATGGCCGTGCTTGAGATTCTGATTCATTTATTGAGACAGATATTAACAATGTCTTAAAATATTTCATTTCCCACTCCCACTTTGCTCTTTTTAGAGGTAATTTTTAGGTATTTTTAGGTAATAGTAAACAATTAAGTCTGTTTAGACATCTCCATATTGCAGCTTTGACAGAAAGAGCTAAGTGTTGCATTCAACTGATAGATATATAAGTATGGAGAATTTCACTCATGTTACTCAGGAAGACAAACATCATAAGAATTTGTGACTGTACGACTTAATCATAACATCTTAAGGGACTCAGGATAGGAAAAACTGTTGAAAATTCAGGCCTACTATGTAATTAGGCAATAAAATTAAGAAACTACTCAAAATCCTCCAAAAATAGAAGCAAAGGAAATGCTCATTCCAGTACCATGGCATTTCCCAGTACCCAAATAAAGGAACAAGTGAAAAAACAATCCCAGATCATCCCCCTTTGGGCTGGCAAACATACAACAGCCAACCTGCCCCAGGCCAATTGCAACTCTAGAAATCTGAACTCAGAACTTGTCATCAAGAGTTTTCACGCATTTTCTTGCACATACTTTTGTCATTTTATTCCCAAGAATGAAATGCTATATACAACTTTAAATCTGATATACTCGTAGGGCAGACTCCAGAGGAAAGGTGGAAGATTGACAGGGAGAGGGCGAGCATGACATGGGCAGAGAGCAAGACACCAAAACTGGGGGATGAGTGCAAACTAAGTGTACAATAACTGAGACTCAGGGTGCTCTCATCTGCAGCGTCGGACAGCAGGCAGAGGTTCATCAGAGCAGTCACTATCAGCACGTAGAGACTCCTTTCCAGTGCCTGACTAATATGCCCTATCACAGTGCCCGGAGACAAAGACTGATGTAAACTTCCTGCCATCTATCAGTCATATAGTTTGTTCAATTAGACTGTACAACATCAGCTGGTCTTAAAAACATGGGAGAAAATTCTACAAGTCAAAATAGCTCTAGTACTGGACATGAAAAACAACACTTAAATTCAGAATATACTCAAAACATTACTATTATCTTCTCTCTTGCTATTAAAGAACAAGCGTAAAAAGCATTCAACAGTACTATCAGACAAAAAGGCAAAAAAGATTTTGTGCACCTGTCAAGTGAAAACAAAGCAGCTTACACCTCTGAAGGGATGAAGCGGGGAACTTTTTTTTTTTTACACAAAGTAAGTGTCACATAAATATAATCACTATTTTTAAACTGTCTCTGGTAGAAGAAGTTTCCACTTAAGTCAAAGTTTCTTCTGGTGCAAGTTCCATATTACACAGTTAACAGAATTTGACAGCTGGCAATACAATTTCCAAGATATCTAAGTTAACTTAAAATTGCAAACTATTTGATCCTTAGTGATACTCAGCCTTTTTCTTCACCATCTACAGTAGATACCAGGATTCTGGTCCAATCTAAGCTGCTATACTTAGAACAGGTGCTGGACAAGGGTTTTTAAAATTACCTGTGGTTAGTTTAGTTTTGACTTACCCAAGTACGATGCTCGTATTTTTGCCATCTCTTTCTCCCACACACACCATCAGATTTGGTCACCACAGGAGGCATGATTCATATTACTCTTTAGAAATGTATTTTAATAGACAAGCTTTACAATTGAAAGAGCTTTTGAGTTTTTAAAATAATCAATCCACTGAAAAACACATCAGATCACTTTACTGAATGCATTTTTTTCTGCAGCAACTTTGCTGTCACATTTAACTGCTACTAAGACTAATTTTCCTAGTTGATGTCATAATTTAATACATTTCTTTGGAGGAAAACAAGTTCATCCATCTCATGCTGACAAAAAACAATCTAGACAGCTCCCTTCACAGAATTTTCTTCTAATAATTTGGAGTAATGGAAGGTATGGAGACTAAGAGGAGGAAGTCTCCCTACTGAAGGCAATGCCTAGTCATTTCCTGCCATCCACCTGTATATTCTTAAGTATCTACAAGAATACCATGTGACAACACACAGGGAATAAACATCCACTGCAATAGAAACCCAGGTTAAATCAGGTATTTATGTAGGGATATAAAAGCAACTGATTAGAATGCAAAGCTGACTTCTACCAGCACTATTGGAAATTAAATGCATTCGGGGTAGGGGTTAAATACATCTTAAGAACATTTTAGAATCAGTTACTTCTACATATGAAAGTCTGTCACTAAGTACTGTAAAATTCCATTAAAACTATAGGAATTAACTCCCTGTTTGGAATTAAATTATAATCTCACCCTTTCTAAGACTTTTTGAAAATTCCTTTAAATACATAAAGCAGTAACCAGTACACAAACCAACAAACCAAACAAAAAAAGCTAGAAACACCTGCATCCACTTTTTTAAAAAGAGGAACATGACTAAAAATATTTACAAATACTAAGAGCAGCATTACTGAAAATAATATAAACCAACCTTCCCAAAAACTGTCTCAGCATCATTTTTATTTGTCTTTGGTGTTCTATTCTTAGATATTTTGGGTTTGAACTACAGCAACTAAGAGTTTCCAGTCGAAAAGATAATGAGAATCAAGACAAGTATTACTGGATAAAGGGACAGATTTTACCAAATTAGATTTTTTTTCTTCTTTTTTTTTAAAGCTTTACTAGCATGAAATCATTTGATATCAATGAAAGCCTCCCTCATGCCTTAAAGGTCTGCAACCCATTGACAGCAAAACCTCCATTTTGCAAACCCATTTATGTGATTTCTATGAAAAGATGTACAAAAACCCCACACCTATCAGAGAACAAGCAAACAACTTAGTCATCAGCCAAACAAAATGCTGTACTACTTTTCTTGATACATACTTTTTGATACTTATACAAACCTTGCCATCTGCTATGATCTCTGACAAAATAACTGACTTCCGTTCTCAATCTGAAGTTTCATTATGACAGTAAATGTCTTACATGTAACGTTAAAAGTTACTTCTATCCCACTGCAAGACTGTATAGGTATCTATGGTCATTATAACCTGTTATAAAGTAGTATCAGACTATTCAGTACCCTGAATAAAGGACCTTCTTTTGATAGCTACAGGTGTAAAACCTAAGGAGAAATAGATTAAAACATTCCAACAGAGCACAACTGTTTAATTTAGAGAGGCTACATGAGTTCTGTATAAGCTTTTAACCACACATAATTCTGAACTTTATTGTGACTTTAATGTTATAAAAACTAAGAGGATGGAAAAAAAATTGTAAGGATTCCAAGGAACATCTCCAAATAAACTGCTGAGAAAAATTGGGTGCTGGTGTATTAAAACAGAAAAAAACCAACATTCGAAGCTATGGATTGGATTGTAAGGTATACAATTAGAAGACAAAGGTAAGAACTAGATGCCAGACCTATGCCATTACTTTCACCTTAAAATGCCAACAAGAAAAGAGGCCTATATAGTGGTTGAGGGAAAAGTGTTGCTCCTGAAGTGTTTGACTGTGACCTTTCAGATGGCATTTTGCATCTAAAGCAGTCTTCACAGTTAGCAGTTATTTTTAATAACAGAATTAGATTTTTGGGGTATTTTATTTTTTTTTTAAAACAGACAAACATCATCTATACCAGCCTTAGCACATTCTCAAATATTACACATGACAACATGATGAATGGTTATTACCTATTACAATAAACATAGTCTACTTTGTTTGTTAATTCATGCAACATAAGGGTCCAGCAAATATGAACATACAAAGTTTTACCATAACGTTAGAAAAGAGAACACGTAATTCTACAAACAAATTATGATATATGACACCTCAGTGGAAGCATTTTGAAAAAGTGTCTTTATTTCATTGTCTCCTACCTGATAAATTCTAAAGGGGATGTATCGAAATCCATTATCTTCTGGAGGATACTCCATGAGTTTTCGATTTATTGCCCAAAACTGCTCAAATTTATCTGTGAAAGTAAAATTAGACTTTGTTAATATTAGTAACAAAAAAAATATTAATATATTCTTTTTCAGCTAAAAAAGGTAAATGACACATGATTGGAACAACATGAAAACTTTTCTTACAGAAGTTTGACCTATCTTTGAATTTATTTTCCCCACATTTCTCTTCCCTATTTTGCCTTAAGCCAAAGGTAGGTCATCTGCATTCTCCTATGAAAACAGTGATGTGGCAACTTATCAAACTGAAAGAGAAAGCAACCTGAATTCATATCTTATCTCCCACTGTTAAGGAAATATTGGGCCATAAATTATGGATTTCATTACCTCAATTAAGTGCCTGCTTCTCCACTTCCTGCTGCTACTGGTCTACACTCTCTCACAATTTGCTAAAAATATCTAATTGTTTTTAACTACAGATAAACAATAGGTGTAAAGTATAGAGAAACCAAAGCAAGAGAAAAACTTTGAGGCATTTACATTTGGATATGTAAATCTTAAAATAATCTGCAACAATGTATGATATAATCAGAAAATATACTGCCAGATTCATGACACAACCCAAAAGTAAAAGTTTATGCTTGAAACACAATTTTGTCATTATCCAAGTAACTAGTTTTAGTAAAATAGCCTGAGGCAGCACACCATTTCATCCTGTTCAGATATTACAAGAACTGAATAGTTTATTATGTTTCAAATGTATTGAGAACAGCATAGGTCTAAGACTAATAAAGGCTTTTATACATGCAAATCAATTATTCAAATCAAGCAAACAACTAATATCAGAAATGATAGAAAGGAACACAAAGAGCTAAGATGAATAGAGCTGTTGCTAGTCTTACTGGAGAAGGCAGCTTTATAAATGGGGAAAAGCAAAAGATCAATTTCCTTATAGGCCCTAACTCTCCAAGACACCAAAGTGGGTGCTTCTTCAGAAGAAACACAGAGTCTCCAATTTTCCCTCTTTGGCACAAGTCTCAAGAAGCTGGGTCATATACCCATGAGAGAATTCAGCCCCCCTGAAGCAAGGTGAAATTCAGAAATCTATTCACTGGACAAAGGTTCTGCCTGCTTCCGAAACTGCTGATAAAAATTGAAGCAACTGGACAAAACAAAAGGAGTTTGAGATTTGCTTCACTCCAGCATACTGCACAGATGCCTGTCAGTGCACTAAAAGGCATAGTTTAATATATATTGCGGGGTTTAACACATTGCTTTTCCTGACTGAATGTAACACAAGGCAAGAATTTCCAAGAAACTGTAAACAAACTCCTGCCAGGTATTCTGTAGGAGCATTTCCCAATACTTATCTCAGAAAGTACTTCCACACCCTTGTTTCCTCATTAGCAGCAAGTGCCTCTTGACAGGCACTTACCTGAGCTGCAGTCAGCACCACCATGCAGACACCTGCCCTAGATGACAAGCTGCCTGGACACAGGGTGTTACCCCATAGCTCACTGGGCTGGGAAGTTTAGGAAGTGGCAGTGACAGTGACAACCCTGGAGCAGAATGTACTCAAGCAATCCTGCATTTAGGAACCCCAGCCTACACAGTCAGAGGTTTAGCTTTACAATGTCTGGCACAAAGAATGACTGTCTCCTCCTCAGGAACTCTGTCAGTGGGAAAGTGAAGATTTAGCATAATTCCTTCATCCATGGAGACAGCACTGAGAACAGCTTACAGCTTTCACTATAAATGTATGGATAGGCATCCTACAGTAGGCATCAATCGATTTATACTTCAATTACTACTTCTGACTATAACTCAGTTGATAAAACTGTTATCGTGATACACAAAACAAAACAACTGAGACCTACTTAAGCTCGTGAGCTTCAGCAAACCTAAATAAGGAATCTACATATTTGGATATATCCTACTTTAAAAAAATAAACATTAACTACATTTACTTGTTTAACACTCATATTACAGTAATTAGGAAAGTTGGGTGAACAGCTTACTGTCCTCAAAATTCAACAGAGATAAGCGACACATCTTATGGATCAGAACTAGAAATTCTGAATAAATAACAGACTTATAAGACAAAGTATATTGACCCTTGTGGCATATACGGTAAACAAGTGAGCCTCTGAAAGACAAAAAACGTTAAACAATGGTAATGTGCAGTTAACTCACTTCTGTTCCTCATTCCAGCTTCCTTACCTCCCAGAAAGTATGCAGGTAATTTTATTTAAGGTAGGTAAATTTACAAAGTTGTATTTCTCAGATTATTCTCTGAACGCTCAGACAATGTTTACGACAATGTATTGTTTAAATTTCTAATAGTTTCTGTAGTTTCCAAATATAACAGCAATAAATCTGCCCTAACACAAACACATAAAATCCCCCAACCCCCCTTGAAAATATAAGTGAAAGGAGTCATCATTCTCCAATTTTCATGTCACAGTACCCCCTGTTTACGCAAAACAGACTTCAGGAAGCTATTAATGCTATGATGAGCTACAAGAACTAATCAGTTCATTGGCTAGAAACGACAAAGACAGAACGTGCTGGCCGGAACTTTGACAATCAAAACAAAACTGAGTTTTCATCAAGCCAGTAAACAAGGAAGAGTTCTCAAACTATCAGCAAAAGCATTTTACACACTTGTCTCCCTCCCTCCTGCTCGCTCCTGACAAGCTTATGCAGTCTGCATGATATTTAAACTACCATAACAGTCAAAACCAATTACTTTTTGTTTGCCACAATCCATCTGTTTTTAAGAAAGTGTTTGATTGAAGCATTAGTGAGTTTCTATATTAGCAAAAAACAGTACTTGCAAAAGACAGATGTTCATATCTGAATAACAATATTTCGTGGCTAGGTTTCGCGAACGAAGATTTGGGAAGGGCTCTACCCACGTTTGTTGCAAGCGCGTTGGTGGCTAAAAAGGCCAATACAAGATAGGCACGTCTGGTTGCAAAAGGCACAGCAGAAAGACTCCTTAGGTAGTAAATTCTGCAAGACACGGTTCTTTCTGCGTTCTTTTCTCCTCGAGAGTGATCCTGCGTGCGTTCTCAAAGGAGACAGCAGCATTATAGATGGTGTGTCTCCAGACCTCCCGACTGGAGGCCAGAGTAGACCATTTATGTTGATCAATGTGGCCAAGGCTGAGATGTTGTTTCAGGGAGTCCTTGTATCTTCTCTTCGGGGCTCCTCTCATGTGGTAGCCAGTGGCAAGTTCACCATAAAGCAAGATCTTAGGGAGGCGGTGGTCCTTCATCCTGGAGACGTGCCCTTCCCAACGCAGCTGTGTTCTCAGCAGCACAGCCTCAATACTTGTGACTGCTGCTTGTTCTAGAACAGACATATCAGTCGCATTATCTGACCAGTGGATGTTTAGGATTGTACAGAGGCAGCGTTGATGGAAGCGTTCTAGGAGTCGCAGGTGGTGGCGGTAGATGACCCATGATTCAGATCCATATAAGAGAGTAGACAGCACAATGGCTCTGTAAACACTGATCTTGGTACTTTTCTTCAAGTGTTTATTTCGCCAAATTCTTTTATGAAGTTTTCCGAAGGCACTATATGCCTTTGCTAACCTGTTGTCTATCTCTCCATCAATCTTACCATCTGAGGAGATGAGGTTACCTAGGTAATTAAACTGCTGGACTGATTTGAGCTCTGATTCGCCAATGGTGACATGGGGATGATGGAAGACTTCCTGAGGTGCAGGTTGATAGAGAACTTCTGTCTTCTTTAAGCTGACTTCCAGCCCAAAGAGCTCAGCAGCGTCTGCAAAGCAGGATGTTAAACGCTGCAGAGCTGCTTCTGTGTGAGCGACGAGGGCGGCATCATCAGCACAAACCAGCTCCCGGACAAAATGGTTTAAAGTCTTAGCATGGGCCTTCAGTCGCCTTAGGTTGAAAAGGCTTCCATCAGTACGATATCGAATGTAGATACCGTCCTGATCATCGAGGTCTGCCGTGGCCCTTTGGAGCATCATGCTGAAAAAGATTGTGAATAGGATTGGTGCGAGAACGCAGCCTTGTTTCACACCATTATAGTTATTAGAAAGGGCTCAGAAAGTGCATTGCCATAACTGACTTGGCCATGCTGATCCTCATGGAGTGAGATGATCATTTTAAGGAACTTGGGGGGACATCCTAAACATTCCAAAATCTGCCATAGACCTTTTCTGCTCACAGTATCAGAAGCCTTGGTGAGATCAACAAAGGTTACATAGAGATCTTTATTCTGTTCCCTACACTTCTCTTGCAGTTGTCTGAGAACAAATACCACGTCTGTGGTACTCCTGTTGGCTCTGAAACCACATTGGCTTTCAGGTAGAATTTCTTCTGCTATAGCAAGTATTAGTCTGTTCAAGAGTATTCTAGCCAGGATTTTGCCGGCAATGGAGAGCAGAGTAATGCCACGGTAATTTGAACAGTCTGCTTTAACTCCTTTCTTCTTATATAAAGTGATAAGTGATGATGACTACATCTCAAAGGTCTGATGGTAGTTTGCCGAGTTCCCAACAGCGCACCACAAACTCGTGACATTTAGCATGGAGTGCAAGGCCCCCATGTTTCCAGACTTCAGGTGGAATTTCATCAACCCCGGCTGCCTTGCCAATTTTCACCTGCTGTATGGCCTTGAGGGTTTCTCCTAAAGTGGGGGCAGTATCCAATTCATACTTCACCGGTTGTTGTGTGATGGACCGAATAGCTGAGTCTTGGACTACAATATTTAAAGTAACAACAATAAGATTCAAACAAAAGTGAGATTAGTGACAGTATAAAAGTTTCATATGACTCCACTAATATTTCTTAAACAAGAGATGATGGCTGCTATATAACTTTGCCTAAAATGAAATATAAAAATTTTCTCTCTGTATTTTATGTCAAAGATCAGAAAGTTAATAATCAAATAACTGAGGAGAGATGCAGTTGAAAAATGTATTAACCAAGTAACTTATATTTATAAATATTCATTATGAGAAATGCAGGCACTGAATGTCCAAATGCCAGACAGACATTAGCTTTCATTAGTACAGAGATGCACAGAATCT